GCTACCCAGGTGTTGGGTTATAAGAGCTACAGAGAGAGGATGGGTGCAGTGGGCCCAGGGTGTGCATGGAAAAGGGGGGACCTGCACTTGAGATGAAGGGAGAGGAGAGAGTGCATGGGAGTAGAGGATGTTCACAACCCATTTGCCTTCCCTGACACCTGGGGCAACTTTGAGGCAGTAGTGGGATTGTTCCAGGTCAGGGGCTGGACAAGGATGGTGCACAGAACCCAGAGCTTCACTCTGGCATTCTAGGAGGTCAGAGCCAAAACTTCCGAGCTTTCAACTCTGGATGCAGATGAAAGTCACCTTGGGAACTTAAAAACTTGTGAATGTCAAGACCCTAGCTTTATCAGTATGTCCCAGAAACTGCAGGCAGAACTTCAGAGGGAAGAAATCCTTTTAGGCTATGGGTTGACAGCAGTGGTTTCTGGCTGCAAGGCCCAGGCTACTCTGACCTGATCATGAGACTTCTGTAGTTCCGGAGTGATGGGGATAAATGCTGGAAATAAGACATCTGGCTGCATTCCACTGGTATGGCCTCCTTTTCCTGAGAGTAAAAAGTGCCTGCTTATGACATCAGAAGAATGTGTTGACAGATCTGTATCCTGTTTCCGATTCTCTACTACATTTTATGGTGGGAGCAGTAGCAACAGCTGCTGAACTAACCTGGTCTCTGGCTTTTGAGGACAACTTCAGCTTCCTGTATGTGTTCGTAGATAGAACCTTCGAGAAGTAGTTTTGTCATTGCTGGATTTTGTTTGTTGGTTTGTTTTGAGGCTGTTGGGGAAATTGGGTTGAAGATTTTAGGGATCTTACTACTTGGTATTAGCTTTTAGCTTAGCTTCTTTCAGCATGTCTGTAAGGCACTATCATAATGCTTGGCATATAAGGGACTCTCAGCTAATAAGATAGCAAAGAGCCTCTGAAATGCAAAACTAGTAGTTTGGGAGAAAAATATTGCCTGATTCCTTTCTATTTGCTCAAAGTACTCTTGATACAAACAGAAAGGTAGGGGCAAAGAGAAAGTTGACCAGTCTTCAAAATAAACCTTGAAATGCTGATTGAGATCTACAAGGTCACAGGCACTGTGCAAGGTATTGTGGAAATGCAATGATAAATTAGACCTGGTTCTTGCCCTCCAGTCTCTGATAATCTAGTTGGAGAGGCAAGATATGAACATGTGGAAAGCTAACAATAAAAGGTTTATGTAACAGCCCAAGACAACAATAGAATTGTTGTCAGGGAGCATTTCAGGAGTCTTTGATTTTTTGCCAAATAAATTCTGAGGCCAGTTGGAACCGGTGAGCACAAAGGGTTCACTTCAGGCTGAGGTAGTTGAGTGAAGGGAGAGGGGTTGGTGTGAGCAAACGTATAGAGCCTCAGGTTGGTCCAGATGCTGTGGTAGTTGCCAGCAATCTCCTTTGGCAGGTGCAAGGTGGAGAGGTGTGGGCAAGCTGAGGCTAGGGGACAGTAAGGCTGCATAATGGAAGGGCTTCCACACCCAAACCAAGGTGAGGTTTCATCTTGCAGGAAGTGGGGAAACAATGAAAAGACTTGAAGTTTCTGTGGCCTCTCTGAGTCTCAGCAGAAGATCTGTGGTCTGCACTGTTTGTAGTCATTATAGGGTCTTCTGAATCACTTTCCCAGTATCATCTTTTTCTGCCACTTAAGGGGGACAAAAGTTGATAAAAAACTTTCATCGTGGGGAATGGACAGTGGTCTCTTTAAACAAGGGACTTGCTTATTTTCAGTATCCCATTTTTGACTTTAAACAGCCTGAAAGCGGGGGTGGGTGGGAGCCAACAGGTAGCTTTAGAAAGCACTCTTCCAGCCTCCAGGACACTGTTCAATGACTCAGCAACAGAGGATTTTGCAATAGGCTTATAGAACCAGACCAACTTGCTTTTCCTAAGGAAGCCTTGGTGTCCTAAAAAAACCTCAGCCTGGGCCCCTGCCCTGCTGGGTTGAAATTCCTCCTGTCTTCTGCTAGCATGCCTGTAGCACATGTTCTGGAACCAGTATCACGGAGTCCAAAAAGGGCTTTGGAATCAAGTTAGGTTTCAGTTCAGTCTCTGGCTCTGTCTCTAACTGGTTGTGTGACCTTGGGCGAGTTATCTAACCTCTCCCAGTTACAGTTTCCTCATCTGTACAACGGAAACAACTACTTTGCGGGGGTGGTTATAAGTATTAAATAACAAGTATTAAGTGGCACATAGTAGGTAGTCTGTATATTTTTCTATTACAAAGTACATATATGCCTACAGAGGAAATGAGTTGTCTCTTGGTTCTACTCTTAAAACAACAACAACAACAACAAAAACTTCCTGACTTTCCAACTGCCCCTTTCCTTCTGGGCCTTCCGTAATACTTGAGTCCTACAAGAGGACGTGCTCGTTACAGGAAGTGCAGCCTGACCTAAAAGGAGTTCAGGGAGAAAATTCTGTTGCCCAAGCAGTGGACTGAACAAAGTGGCCCTCCTTATTTTACCAGATCTACTTAGAAGACGCTTTACTCAGGAACTAATCGAACACAAAGATGGGGATTTTGGTGAAAAGATTAAAAAACATAGAGGATTTCTAAATATGAATCTGCTTTCCCAAACAACTTCCTAAGACAAAGACTTATGTAATGTTTATTACGTGCCAGGCACAGTTCAAAACACTTCACAAATGTTAATTGGCTTAACCCTCCTAACAACTATAAGTGTTATTGTGCCAGTTCAGTTGGGGAAACTGAGTCATAATGTGATTATGCAACCTGTTTGCTTTTCCCTGTAATCCTCTGCTTTCACCTAGTCACCTGCAGACCTTTCAGGTGTTCCTCCCAAGCATGTTCTCTCTAAGCTCCTGCCTGTAGACACAAAATTAAGTAAAAAAAAAAAAAATGAAAAGGGGTAGGAAACAGACTCAGATCTTGTCACAGGCTATTTTATAATTCATGACACTTGCATTTTCTGTCTCTTTGTGGCCTGAATGGTGAACTGAACATAAAAAGACACTCCCTTCTTCAAATATGGTTTGACTGGGGATGCTCATACCAGGACTATTTTAGGGGAGAAAGAGGTCAGAGTGGGTACCAGAGGTGAGAAAGAACAAAATCCAAGGACAGAATAGGCGCTCTCCTGCTCTCAGCCCCACAAATGCCATCTCTGCATTAGGCCTCCCTTAACAAAGCTCTGATGGTGCAACTGGGAAAAGCACAGCAGCCACCAGGAAATGGCTCTGTTTTGGGCACTGAGAGAGGGGACTCAGGAAGATGATGGTGAGAAAGATGGACAGTCCTGCTAATATTACTTGAAATGCAGTTGCAAGGCTGTGAAGAAAGCATCTTCACATAAGAAAGCATCTTCTCATAAGAGAAGGACTTGATCACAATAAATTTCTTGCTCTTCTAGTAACCCCATCTCTAACCCACCTCTCCCAAAGAGAATATAAAGTACTATCACTTGCAGAATCCAGTTACTTCTGGGTCATGTAGTGATGCCGTTTCTTGGAAGGTCATGAAACAGATGGCCCTGCCTTCTTTCTGTAGGGTGCTAGCCCCAGGACAGGTTCTTTGCCTTCCTTCGTTTGAAACACTTATCTTCCCAGAAGTCAATCCCCAAAACATTTTTTTGACTTATGCTGTGTGCAAAGTTCTTGGAAGGTTATTTTTGAGGATACAAAGATGCAGGAGATACAGTCAGTGTCTTTTAGGAACTTACAATCTGTGAAGGAGACACATCTAAATATAGCAAAATAAATACAGACACAAGAGATTTTTGCATTGGCTTTTCTCTTTACTATTTTAGAAGTCATACGGCTCTTTAAAAACATGCCTCCTACATCTGATGCTTTTTCCTCCTCATTGAGCTCCAGGCCATGTTGTTCCTTTAAGGAGAGAAGAGTTTGGCACAGGCTAGAAGACAAAGACACACTTTGGAGTGAGGATGGACACCTCCAACCCCAAGATTTCAGTCAGCAGGAAACATACTTGGGTCAGAATCAGGCCTGGGTCCAGGCCAGATCAATGGACCAAAAGAGACATGCACAGCTCAGATAACAGCAGCAGAGGCAATGTTTGTTTTTCCTGGATCTTTTTGCTCAAGTTATTGCCCTTTCTTCAAAAGCATAAAAACCAGGAGCATGCCAAAAGTCATGGCAATCTCATCGTTTGAAGAATTTTGTCACTGGATTAGTTGGTGTTGGGTAAAAGTTCTAGGGAAAGAGTCAGCAAGGAGTGAGGGTGGGGGTGGCGCACAGAGTAGACAGTAGATTTGGAGACAGTATTTTTGGGCAGGTAGTTGTGGCATTTGACACATATTTTTTTGGAACCAAATGATAAAAAGGAAAATTTGGGGTAAATTCTCCATCTCTCAGTCAAGTCTGTCAAGGGTTTCAAAGTCAGTATAGGTAAAATGGGTAATAGAAGCCTCTGTATAACTGCATTTGAAACATGGACCCCAAAATATCCTTCTCCATTGAACGAGGCAGTTAGTCCATTTTAGTTGAGAGTATTCAGGAAAAGCTAAAGAGAGAAAGAATGTTCCACTTGCGTCTCAAAGATGAGTAATTCACAAGGTGCACGGGGTAGGGGTGGGCGGGGGAGAAGAGGGAGACATTCCAGAGAGAAGAGGGATGTAGGTGTGGGAGGTCTGGGATGATGGGACCAAGGGTACAGCAGAGAGAGGGAGAGGGTAGGAGGACTGCCAAGTTGAGAGTCTGCATAGTCCACATTAATGAACAGTAGGTGCTGACATACAAGGAGGAAAGGACCTCTTGTGCATAGGCACAGCTGAGGGTCCCCAGCATTTCTCCCACCCAATGAGGCAAGTGTTTCCGGGATAGGAAGCAACAAAGGGAGACCATGGAAGAATCTGTTATAAGTGGAAGTTTGGCAGAAGATACACTTGGAAGCTGGGGTGAGCTGGTGGCAACTCTGATGGCTGCTGTTTCCGCTCCTCTGGGTGGTTCGGTCTCCATGCCCCTCCCCCCAGCACCAGACTACAGTTTCTGAAGAGACTCGCCCTGGGAGCCATTTGTCTTTTATTAAGGTATCACTTGGACAGCATACAAACAGCACAAGTAGAAACTACAAACCCACACACAGAATAAATTATGACATTTGTATTTAAATTTAGATGATAGAAGAAGCTGTGTTATCGGAGACCAACCAGTTCAGTGTTGAGATTCATGAGGCGTTGGCAGCCCCTGAGACTCTGTGGGAAAGCTTCTCTGAGACATCTGGAGCCCGATGCCCCACCAAGCAAATCTAATGAGGCCCACACTCCTGCACACAAACATGACATGCACAGACGCACACACAGGGAGTGGGGGCAGGGGATGGCCCGTCAACAACAACCAGCTCAGCAACAAGCCAAGCGGACCCAGCTGTGCTTTCTCTGTGGCTCTGGTGGCAGACAGCTCCTGGCACTCACGCTTCTCCAGCGCCCTGTCTCCCTCGGGAGGGTGGGTGTGCCCCGGAGGCAGCACAGGGCTGCTTCCTGAGTGGAGGAACCCAGTTTTGCAATGCTGAGGTGAGCATGGCTCAGCTTTCCTTGCTTGTGCTTGCTTTATGGTCTGGCCTGCTGGGCCCTGCCTGCCACTCCCAGAAACGTCAAGACATGTGCCCTCAGGGAAACCTACCGAGAGATCCAAGTTTGATGGGCCAAGGACTGGGCTAGGCTCAAGGTAAATGTTCAAAACCGATTTTATTTTTCCTGTTGCCTTCTTCTCCCCTTTTTGCTTTCTCTTCTCCCATTTTCTACATCCAGATTTACGTATCTGTTGGAGAGCATGTAATCCCAATAGCACCGAAAGCACCTCTGGACCAGCGGGGTCCTCTTTACCCCAAAAGAGACTGCCAGTCTGTGCATTCCCAGTACAGAACTGTACCCGTGGCAGAGGCAAAGGGATGGAATGTATGACCGGAGGCAGTCTAAGTCTCAGATGCCATCGAAGCCCAGAAGAAAGATCTGGGTGCCTTGGGTGCATGCATGCCTGACTCTCAGGGATGATGGTGAGAGGCCATAAAAGTGGAAAGACGTGAAAACTGAACAGTGGTGCAGAGGTGGTTCAGAGCTGAGTCTAACCAGAAGGAAGAATGTAGGGTTACTTCTGTTCACAATTTTCAGCAGAAACAACCCCCACCCCGGCCTCTGCCAGGAGTGGGGACATCAAGGAAGGAGACTTTGGTGAACAGACTTGTGCACCAAAAGGCTAGTTTGATGGGTCACAATCCAACAACTCTGGTTCTGCAGAAACTGTCCATTCATCCCTCCATCTGTGTGTCCGCCCAGACATCCACCTGGTATTAACTCTATAGACTACAGGCTGCCCAGGACAGAGACCTCTAAGCTCCATTAGCACCTTTTGTCCAGAGTATTTTATGTGGTCAGAGCTGAGTCTTTTACAGGCATGCTGTGAGGTAGTAACAAGACAGGTAACACCTCCCTTTTCATAGATTGAGAAGTGCACGAGTGAGCATAGCTGAAACTTGGTAAGAGGCAGGTCTGTTCCCTGGAGGCCTTGGTACAATTTGTCCTGGATGTTGCTCACACCAGCGTGGGTTTCAAGTCATCTTTGAAGTTCACAATAGGCTTGGAGCGGGCCCACAACTTTTCCCAGGAAGCCAGTCCCCCAACAGGCTCAGGGTCAGTGTCTGACGAGCCACTGTCACTGGAACCAGAGGAGCTCTGGAAGCAGATTTCACAGTAGGGCCGGTGGCAGTGGCAGAAGAACTCGTCTGAGCTGCTGGACTCAGTGTCCAGGTAGCTGCACGGAGAAGGAAGGGAGGGACAGCTGGTGGACCCCAGAGGCTGCCGCTGCTGCTGCTCAGACAGGTCTGGCAAGGTTCTGGACAGGGGTGGGGCAGCAGGACACTGGGTCTGGTCAGAACCAGACAGCGGGTGAGGACAGGCTTCATGGCTCCCTCCAGCCCCTTGGGGCTCTGCCTGGCCCTGCTTGCCGCTTTCCAGGGTGGCGGGCCTATCTTGAGGATCTGTGAGGAGTGAAAGCTTCTTGGAAGAGGGTCTTGGGATCCCGGAATTAGGAGCTTGGGGGTTCAGGCTACGGCTGTCCTTGGTCTGCACGTTTAGCCTGCTCTGTGCCCCAGAAATGGTCCTGTTCACCTGTTGCCTCATATATGAGGGTGCAGAGCCTGGAAAGTGTGAGCGAGCCTGCTGTGCTGCTCGCCTTCTCCTCACCATGTAGGGGCTGAAGCCCAGTTCCTTGGAGGGGGGCATCTTCTGGGTACTGTGGGCAGCTCTACTCTTCCAGGGTTGCTGGGGACAAAAGGGAGAGGAAGGAAGGGAAGCCTCAGGGCCCAGGTCCAGATCTTGCAGGACCTCCTGAAGCTTCTCCCTAATCACCGAATTGACCCTGGATAGTCGCTTTGGGGGTTCCTCTGAGTTCTCTAGTTGTCTCTGGCTCTGGGGAACAGCACCTTCCTCACCTGGTTTGAGATTCTGGCAGGGGGCGATGGTTACCTGGTCTCTTCTTTCTGCCTCCCGGCTTTGCTCAACCTGTGGCTTCTGGCTGCAGCCTAAATTTAAATGATCAGAAAGGTCTTGTAAGTTAGACATCTCCTTCTGTTCTGCGGAGGGGCCAGTGTCCTTCCCTGACCCCTCAAGGTTTTGCACACTTAAGAAAGTACTCTGGGAGTTCTGGGCAGCTGCGCTGGTATGTTTCTGAGTGTCAGAAAGGCATTCAGAAGGCCCTTGAGCTGCCGGGCTGTGGGCAGAGACTGAGACCTGGACATCGTTGCTGTGAGGAGAGGCAGGAGGCACAGCCCACTCGGGGGGCTCATAGGTACACTCAGCTGACATTAGCCTCACTAGCTTCTCTTTGGCGTTGTTTACTTGTTCCTGCAGGCTCTCAATCACAGCATTTTTCTGTAAATAAAAGCAAAACCATCAACAGAAGATAGGCTGAAATTTTTCACATTGTTCCAGAACTGGGTTTAAGTTCTAGTTCTTCCACATACCAGTTGGTGATGTAGGCGCTGGGAAGGTTCCTAAAATGAACTGATGCAGGTAAAGTGCACCAGTTTTATCTGCATATAGTACTCAGATAAGGTTAACCATGATTTATTGTTTCATGATCTTAACCCCCCCCCCCGAGTCCACAGACTGTGACAATGTCTGAGAAGAGCAGTCAGAGGTGGCACAACTAGTCTGTCACCTTTCCTTAGAACCAAGAGAATTAGGTCCTCCGCAGGACACAAGGCTGAATAATGCTGGCATCGCCCAACTCTGGGTTATCACACATCTGTAAAATACAAGTGAGTCTGAGGCACATTTCAAGGGCCTGAGCAAATGGGGAAACAAGTATTTTGCCTCCTGTTAAACAGACTAGAGGACGGGAAGAACAGGGTAAAGGATGGAGGTTCCTGTGCCAAGGTGACAAGACTGGAGTCACCAGGGGCCAAGGAAAATCTCAGGCTGGCGCTATCACCTCCCACAGCTGGACCCCCAAGTAGGAGTTCAAGGCTACCATGTGGCATTATCACCTGCTGATATCCCCCAAAGGAGTGCAGGCACTGAAATTACTGAAGAAGCTTTTTCTAAAAATAGGATTGTTAGGCCTGGGTACCTTGATCCAGAGATCCAGAAAGGAGGCCAGAAAGGCTGGGGCAACTCTCCCATTGAGCTGCCTACTTGCTACACGGCTGTTGGTTGATAAATAGGCTGTGCTGGAGGTGAGGGCATTGGAGGTGCTGCAGAGGTGTGTCTGTTCTATCTGCAAGATTACTGCGCGAAGCAGGAGGCAGAGCATTGGCAATGGTGCACCCTAAGCATTTTCTGGTGGTGTAGGTGGTGCTTCTAGCTCACACCTCATGTTCTTCTGAAATTTCTGATGCTCAAAGGCAGAACTACTGCTCTCTGTTCATAAGCAGGCAGGTCACTTTTGTGATTATTGGTACTACCAATAACCAGTTTCACCTAGGTTTACTCTTTTATCAGCAGGGGAGGGGCCAGGAGCAGTGAGTAATTGGTGAATAAGCGGAAAGGGACTTGCCTCTGAAGAGCTGCCTGTCTGCTCTCCCTTTTCCTCACCCTCCAACTGCAAAGTCTGGGTGGTGCCAGGGAAGTGCAGCTGACTCAAGGACTCTGCAGGAGCAGAGTACATGAGTAGGGAGGTACTCATTCCGGGTTTTCATGAGTGGCAGCAGATCTCTTTGAGCTGCTGGTTGCACAGGAGGGACCCCAATCCTCTGCCTCTTGTAGCCACCCACACATTCTCTCCTGGCTCTGGAAGGCTTCTACTGCCTCACAGAGTTAGAAGGAAGCCATCAACGGATGACAACTGCCCCAGCAAGAAAACTCTGAATGCTGCTTTTTTTGTGCCTTATCCACAAATTCCTGGGAGAGTAGAGAAATAGGATAAGCATTGAGTTGGGAAAATACTCTTCTCCCAGCAAATCAAACAACTGAAACTGGCTTGTGACAAATTTTGAAATGTCAGCTTAAAGAGTCAATTTCCTATCTTTCAGGAAGGGAAGTTGGACTCTGTTTGCGTGGTGATGCATACTAATTAAAGGTGGAGTGTGAGACCAAAATCCGACCCACCATGGCAGCTGCATTTAAACGCGCTTCTTAATGATTGCTTTTGGCACATCCAAGGAAGCAAACATCCAAGGCATGTTTCCTAAGTGCAGCCACAGGAGAAATGGAATCACCCTCTTGTTTCTAAAGGACAAGGACGAAGAGTAATAGGTGAGCTTCCTCAGCTGCAGAGTATAAAATGGGGGTTCCTCAACCTCTGGGAAGGTTCTGCTGCAGCCTGGGAAGTCAGTGACAGATGCTGTCCCCAACAGCTTCCCTGGGACCCTGGCCATCGAGGCAAGGGAGGGAAGAATAGCAGACAGACAGCCCAGATGATGGCAAAGAAAGAGGAGGGCGTAGGGCGTTAAGGGATTTTTCAGAGGAGGGAACCTCACCCGAGGAGCTGGAGTGAGAGTTTGTGCACATATTGAGGCAGGCGATGCCAAGAAGGGGATTCAGATATTGGAATCACAGGGCCCTGGGATGGGCTGCTGCTTCTCAGGCCTCTCCTGGGAGAGAGGGTGCAGGTGTAGGTGTTGCAGGAGGCCAGCGTTTTACTGTCTAGGCATCTGGAACCTATTAGGGCCCTTCTCTACAGACTCCAGGCATCTTTTTGGAAAGAACAGATTCAGTCACTGTGTGGGAAATGGGGCAGCATGGCAGAAGTACAAAAAGCACGTCACAAATTACCATAAGGTTAGAGTCAGTCTACTGGCGGTTCCAACATTAGCTGATTGTGAATGAAAACCATCCTGGCTGTTCTCGCCAAGTTTCTGGCTTTCTGTTTAGCCAAAAAATGCTTTTTTGGAGACTTCACAGAGTATTAAAGGCAATGCTACACCCTTGTCAGGTGACTCTGAATGCTTTGTGAAGAGTAAAGAAATGGAGATGTACTACTCTGAAGGATAAATAAAAGGCCCAGAACTGAGGGTAACATGTGGGGGACTAGCAGGCTCTGGGGAAGCTTAATCCCTTCCCTGGGCAAGTTCCGCAGGTTCCATCGCACCACCCTCTCACACAGGGGCTACTGACACCCACGTGTCAATCCCATTACAAAAGACATAGTGTCCCAAACAGTACCTACTCAGGCATGTTCTGTACTGAAAGATATAAGGACTATAATTTAGCTAGAGTGAAAATACTGACTAATTCCTCTGGGCCCTGTGCCTCCTCAATGCAGCCTTAAGCTTTTCCATGTGCTTCCTTCAAGCCCACACCACACTGTCCAGTTCCAGGAGAGTTGCCAACTCTGGCTCAGATTGGTGCTACCATGATATCTGGAGATCCTATTCATTTCCCTCTCCACCTCTAGACACCTCCTGAATTTCTGGGTTGATAGGATGATTGAGCTTTCTAGTTAGAAACAAGAAAAGATGGGAGGCTCATAATATCTCAGAAATGAGGGCATGTGGGCCTCCCTGGGGGCTTAGTGGGTGGAGCACAGCGCTGTGAAGCTGTCTGCAGCCTCTGCAGCATGGATTCGATTCCCGGCCGGCAAGGGAGATACCCACATGGTGTGGCAGACCTCTCCTGTCTCACACGCTGCTCCCCTCAGCAGTGTTTTCGGTCTGTCTGCCTGTTCTGCTCCCTGCTCTGTCTCTGGTGAATTCTCTCACCCTCCTGCGCCTCTGGCCTGTACTCCAGTTCTTGTATAAATAAATCTTTAAAAAAAAGAAATGAGCACATGACTGTTTAAAGACAGGGCATATCACACAGAAGAAGCTGGCACCCATTACTACTCAGGGTTTTTATATTGCTATTCCACTTACTTGGAATGATTTTTCCTTGCTTTTTTTTTTTTTTTTTTGCCTGACCAATTTGTATTTAACATTCAGCTCTCAGCACAGTCTTCTGACTGCTCTAATTAAGTTGTCTGGCCCTCACCACCCATTTTTCTGTCCTACCATCCTGATTTTTGCTTCATAATTCTTTTTTTTTTTTTTTTTTTTTTTTAATAGAGGCATGCTTTATTTATTTGTTTGCTGGTTTGTTTGTTTGTTTTGTTTATACATGCACTGGGTACAGTCAGAAGCGCGGGAGGGTGAGAGAATTCACCAGAGTCAGAGCGGGGAGCAGAGCAGGCAGAAGGACCGAAGTACACTGCTGAGGGGAGCAGCGGGCGGCAGGAGAGGTCTGCGCGCCATGTGGGACCCTCCTCTGGTGGCCGGGGAGCAGCCGGGGATCGAACCGGCGCCGCAGAGGCCGCGGGCAGCTTCGCAACCCAGCGCTCAACCGCTGCGCCACCGGGGAGGCCTGCTTCATAATTCTTATCACAATTTATAATCTGATGTTTACTTCACCAATATCTATTTCTTATATTAGACTGTGAGCTCCATGAAGGTAGGGACTATACTTATTTTGCTCACCAGCACTTAGCACACTACCTGGCACGCACATGTCCAATGAATGGATGAAGTGGGTGAGGGTCAGCAATGGGAAGGTCACTGGGGAAAGGTTTTGCTTTGAGGTTTTGCTTCTTGCTAAGGTTTTGCTTGCTGTGGCCAGGGAGGAAGCGGGGAATGGGAGGAGAAGGAATGTTAGCAATGAGAGCATCTGGGGCCCACCGATGCATGGCTGGAGTTCTTTTTAGAGAATGCACCAGACAAGGGGGCAGCTTACTTCTGTGAGGAGCCTTTCCATGGAGTTCTTCTCTACTCCAGCATGGCAATTCTGTTCCTCACCATACTGGGTATGGAAGCTTTTGCTGGGGGTGCTGAAATACTTGGCCATGCGTCTGATTGTTTGGTTTTCCTCTTCAAATGCCTTCCATTGCTTCAGCTGTTAGATAAAAGAACACTTGTAATTTATTTAATTACACACCCAGAAACACATTCTCTTATTCTTACAGGCTTACTCAAAAACACCCAGGAATGACAATGTTACAGATACACATATGCACAAACTATTCTTTCATCAAAATGTAGTTTTCTCTGAAAATTCCTAGATAACAATGACAGAAGGTAGAGACAATGTTAAGATTACAGTTTTTAAAATGTTGAACAAAGAAGATGGCAGGTAGATGAAATAGAACAATCTTGACTTAACCCACCTACTGGTGCGCTGGTTAAAGAAACTGGAGTTAAAGTACACTTTAAGGGCCATATTTTAAGCCAGGGTTTAGAAGTATAAAAGAAATAAGCAAGGATGTTTCAGATGAAGCTGTTTCTAGTTGCATGTAGCAGTTCTTAATTATTCTCATTTTTGAATAATGCTATGCTTACTGCTGTCGAAAGGGTTCCTTGCTGGAGGACCCAAATCCAAATCAATAACCAAAGTTCAGGCAGAAAGAAAACCACAGATGTCAATAAAAATCAACAGAAACGATAGAACATTATGTCTGAGACCTGACCATCTTTTTTCCTTGACAGATGAGGAAAGACTCAAAAGAAGTACAACTTGTCTAAGCCCACTCTTTCCAAAAAAGAGTCACAGCTATAACCAGGGTGCTGTGTCACACATGCCATGTCTTCAACATAGCTGAAGAGAGAAAGACTCTTAACTGGGGATGAGAGGCGCCCCCTAGGGGCAGAATTTTTCGTTTTTCTTTTTTAAAAATAATTTTAAAAACATCCTTGTTTATTTTTTCGCAGTATAGAATTTCTCCCCCTCAGGTGCGGTCACCATAGTTTTCCCACCACCAAAGGGACAGATTTTTTTTTTTTTTGTGGGACCCTCGCCGGCAGCCGGGGAACGAACCAGCGCTGCAGAGGCTGCGGGCAGCCTCGCAGCCCAGCGCTCAACTGCTGCTCCACCAGGGGAGGCCCAGGGACAGATTTTTGTGCGAAGTAGGTTTTGGGAAATAATCTTTGGGAGCATGGACTGGTTTAGTTTAACAGGATGGAAATGAAATAGGACATTCACAAAAAGGATCCTCCTGAGCTTCTGGGGTGCCATCTCTACCCTTTTCCCCTTAGGAATTCTCATAAGTAAGAGTCCTAGCGCTGTAGACTGGGTACTCTGGCCTCTTAGCCGTAGAAAGGATGCTGAGGAAGCCTCATGGGCTCCTGGGGTTTCTGCGCTCAATCATTAAACATTCATTAAGCTCTGTCTATTGAGTGTAGCCCACATTTGGTAAATCTCAGGATTCTAAATCCTGTCATCCATTTCTTCTTCTTTTTTTTTTAAGATTTATTTTATTTATACAAGAGCTGGGGTACAGGCCAGAGAGGTGCAGGAAGGTGAGAGGATTCACCAGAGACAGAGTTGGGAACAGAACAGGCAGACGACCAAAAGCACTGCTGAGAGGAGCAGCGGGCGAGACAGGAGAGGTCTGCTGCGCCATGTGAGTATCTCCCTGGCCGGCCAGGAATTGAACCTGTGCTGCAGAGGCTGCGGTCAGCTTCACAGCGCTGCGCTCAACCTGCTGCGCCACCGCCACCGGGAAGGCCCTCCTGTCATCCATTTCAATGTCACATTCTCTCCCAAGACCTCTTGGGTCCTCTGTTGACTCAATGTGAGTCTTTCATGGTTCATTAGGATTTAGTGTGACTTGTGCTGGGTGAGGCCAGGAACCTCCTCTCTCAGATGCCCTTCTCAAGGATCCCCTCCCTAGGGTGCTGTCAGTTCCCTGCCTTCCTCAGGAACTGCCTGCTAAAGCCCAGCACCATGGGGTCGCTCTATAGGGCCTCTCTAGGCTTGAGCAGCCCTCCAGTGTTGTCTTCCTAGCACTGACCCTGCAGTGTTGCTCCCTCTCATTCCCTAACAATATCGTTTTCCTTTCTCTCCCCTAGCTCCAAGTCTGAGTCCTTTCTGCATAGCTTCTGGAGGAACTGTTCACACTGGTATAAGGCTCCTTGCAATGTTTTTGGTCTGTCTCACTTACAACTAGTGGGGTGAAGCCAGGGTGCCCCTTGACCAAAGTCCCCTCTCTCTCTTAATACCCCATTTGTGAAGATCCTGGTCCTTGAGATATGACCCTTCAGGTTTTCTGGAAGCTATAAATAAATGACCCTCAGGTCACAATTTCAGGACCTCTCTGTGGTGCTTCCTCCAGAAGGAAAGTATATTCTTGTTTTCTCAACCTCTGTCCCAGGTGGGTGTGGCAGGTTGAAGAATGGTCTCCAAAACATTTCCCTCCTAATTCCTGGAATTTGTGAATGTTACCTTACATGGAAAAAGGGATTCTGTAAATGTGAGGTAAGGATTTTGAGGTGGATAGATTATTTGGGATGCTCCAGGTGGGCCCAGGATAGTCATTAAAATCCTTTCAAGAGGAAGACAGGAGGGTCTGAGTCAGAAAAGGTGATACAATCATAGAAAGAGAAATGGAAGGTGCTGCAATGCTAGCTCTGAAGATGGAGGAAGAAGTCAGTAGTCAAAGAATGTAGATGGCTTCTAGAAGCTGGGAAAGGGATGGAAGTGGATTCTTGTCTGAAGCCTTGAAAGGAATGCAGACCTCTGGTGCCTCTGGTCATGGAGTTCCCTATCTGCTCATTGGACTTTCTACTTCTCTTTGAGATTGGTCTTCAACACCCCATTTTCTGAGGTGGTGTCACCAAGTCACAAGATAAATTGCAGCAATGATTGACAGCACTTCCTTAAATACTTATCACGTGTTATAACTCCTTACTTGTCTGCTCCCAGCTTGCAGAGAGATGGTCTTGTGTTTAACTGCATGTTTCCAGTGTTTAATAAATGGGTGAATGGATACATGTACAAATGAAGGAAGCTTTCCTTTAAAAAGCTCCTCTATTTATTGAGGGTTCTGGGACATATACAGATAACTACAAGAAAGAGTAGAAAGTCCCCTGTACCTTCAGGGAGGAAGAAGCAGATGAAATACTGTGAGGGTTTAGGGGAGGTAGACAGAGTGAGGGGGTGGACAGAGGGAGGGGGAGGAATATGTAGGAATGGGTCACATTCAGGTCACAAAAGCAGAGACTGGCTCATGGCTGAGGTTGACCTCGAGTTTGGCATAAACACGTAGGCATTTCTTGAGGGCCTGTGGAGAATGCTACTTGGTCCACCTGTCTCTTTAGTAGTGTCCCCTCTTTCAACCAGTTCTCTAGCGCCGCCTAGCTGCCCTTGAGGTATCTGTGCCTGTGTTTTCACAAACCTGTCCTACCAGTGTCCTTTTTGAAAACTCAGTGGCAAGAAGGAAGCCCACCTCCCTGCTCCCTCACTCACTTTTCCAAGTTGACTCACTTTCCTCCTCTGCTAGGAATACAGACACTCTCACAAAGAGAATCTTTACCACAGCCTCCTCCTGAACCAGAGGGAAAATCAATTCAGGGGCACACAAAAAACTGGCAAACCTTAGTTACTTTTATATTTTGAGAAAAAATTTTCCTCCTCACCCTAAAATACACTGACTATAAAATATATTTTTTAGTTTTATATCATGGTCAATTCAAGGGCAGAAAACTCATGATAAAAAGAATCGAAGAGGAAAGATATAGCAAGAGAAAGTGAGCTCAAGACAACTAGAAGGAAAAGGGGAAGTCAGATAGGGAGAAGGAAAGAGAAAGGACAGAGCTGTCCATGCCCAGTTCCTATTTCCTCTGGTAACCCATTCTCACTCCCACTTCAACAAAACAAGTGCTCCTTGCTTAGTTCAAACCTGGAAGTCAGATTTTAAGCTAAATTTCATCCTGCATCTCTGTATCTGTAGATGGATGTATAGCTAGGTATCACTACCGTGTTAGGTGCTGAGGGCTCAAACACCCAGGGGAGTGGAAATTTTGTATTTGAGGCTTAGGACCTAGGAGGGACAGAGTTGAGTATGGAGAGAGGAGACAAAAGTAGAGTCACATCATGGAGGTTGTGGGTTCACTCAGTTTTAAGAGAGATGAAGGCCTTGTTTTAGATTAGTAAGGCTTTCCTTGGTAGTTTTTGGTGATTGGTTCTGCCCCAAATTATTTTATTTTCCTATTAGCTCTAAATTGTATCCCTAGGTCTGTTTTCCATATTTTCTTATCTAGGCTCTCATTTTTTGTCTCCTTGTTTCCTGTTTCCTTAAATTAGTTCAATATTCTGTCATGTCTAATTGCTTATTTAATGTTTCCGTTGAGGTTTTAAATTTAGCAAATATTCTTCATCTTTATTCAATGTTTCATGATCTAAGAGTACGTCCTTCTCATGATGATTTGTTTTGAAGCCCATTGACAAGACAAATCAGAAGTCTTCTAAAAATTTCTATTTTGCTTCCGAGAAAGGTACCTTCTCTCAATCTTCAGAAATTTGTGGTTCTTGTCCTAGGAACTGCAGAATCTTTTCATATTTCTCCCTGAATTGATAGTCTTATATGAGAAGAGCTATAGTTTTATATAGTCTGGCATATATAGTATAGTAAGCACATTCTCTTAGCTACAAGATAGTTGCTAGAGCTCTAGGCATCACATTCAAGATAGGAAGAAGGTAGAAAAGGCGATGCTAATCATACAGCTTTTTTAGAAAGTGAAAGCTTTGTCATAAGCCTCGGAGAGAAACTTTGATGTTCAAAACTGTGTCACATGGGTATCCCTAGCTATAAGGAAGGTTGACAAAGTAAATACTTAACTCTTCTAACCTATAGTGAGGTAAGTCAGGAAGGATGGGTTACCAATCAACAGTGTTGGTCACAGGGCCTAAGGAGTGGGCTTCCCCAAAAGCCACCCCTGCTCTCTACTCCCTTTCTCTCATCTCCCAGGGAAGAACAGCCTTTACTTTTTAGCATGTGCTATCTCCCAGAAAATGAGTCTAAGCTCTTAATGGCTTCCTTCAACCTTGTTCTTACAGCATTAAGATTCAGAACAAATTCTTCTATTTTCTACCACAGATGTGATACCCATTCTTAGTTTTTAGTGCTGCTGCTACAGATTTTTCCATATTTGCTTATTCCATTGAGTATTTTAATGAGAATTTGAGAAAAGAAGAGCAAAGGGACTATGCCTGCGTTTCACCATCCTCTCAGATTGCATGTGTTTTATAAATACACTCTAACCCCATATCAGCCAACACTTCAATTTGGTTAGCTCCCTTGTGGAGAGGTCATTCATAGTCAACTGGAAGCTACAATGGGAATCAGGATGGGGTCTTGAGGGAGTAGTGGGATGAAGGAGGCCTCAGAGGGAAGAAAAAAGGAATGAGAAGGGAAAGAGAAAGAGTCTAATGCCAAGTTCATTAACTTGCACATATGTGGCTCAGTGGTACCCTTGGGTATAACATGAATAATTTAACATCACTTTTCTTTCAGAGCCTATGGATTCCTTTGCCTTTCCCCTGACTCCCTTTTTTGCTCTTTACTGTCTAGATATTTCTGCTTCTGTCATCCTTCCTCATTTGCCTTCTCTTAATCTCCGTAATATGAAACACATTTTTATTTAGCTTTAATTTCTCCTTTTAAAAAGAAGAGGAATGTCCTATATAGTCTTCTAAGAAAGAAAAAAACATTTTAAGTTCCATAAAGTTCCAAATGAGTTATTTCCCCTGTGAATATGTAATCCCACGTAGGGATGACATAAAGGTTCCTTACTCCCAGGTTAGTGAGAGAAATGACATTATCAGGAAGTCTGGGCTTGGGGGTAGGAGGGGGTTGGGATGAATGAAGCCAACTGGAGGGTGGGTATAAAGGCAGGTAGGCAAGGTGGCCCAGAAGGGCTGGACATGAGCTGCCTTCCTAGCTGCTTGGGGGCAGGGCAGAGCTGTGCTCATTTGGGAGAGCAAGGAGGGACGAACAGTCAGTCAGCTTACTAAAATCCCCAAGTTCTTTGTGACTCTCCAGTAAATAGTACCCAAAAATCTTAGTGGAAAACAGTGAGCAACTTCTCATGCCTGATGAAGACTCTTGAGTGACAGAGGACTGGCCTTGCTAAATTCGCCCCAGAGCTTACCTGGGGGATGAAGATGAAGCAGTTGACTGTGGTTGTGCAAACAAAGATACCTCCAGATGTGAGTGCAAAGACCAGGTTGGGCCAGGAGTGCAAATATCTGGTGATCACAAAAAGAAGCCCAGCAGCCAGCACCACAAGGTTGACCCCAACCATGGTGGTTAAAGACTGATTCACAGGAGGAGAGCTAACGTGGTCTGTCAGGCCCGCCAGGTAGGCACCATACAGCAGCAGCAGGCCCTGGAGGGGGAGAGGAGAAGCAGAGACTCAGAGAAGTGGCATTATAGGCTTGTTATGTCCCAGAGGGCAGTAGAGCTTGGACCAATTTCCTCATCTGTAAAATAAGGATAGTGATTCTGACATTACAAGGGTGCTAGGAGGATTTACTAGGAGAATTCATGGGGAGATCTTTAAGGTGGCTCCTAATACCTAATAACTGCTTAATAAAATTATTGTTTTCCTCTCCTTTATAGAGAATTAGTTTATTGGAGTTCTGCAAGTTGGAGAGGACTCTGCCAGGACAAGCACAGGACAGCTGGTGCGGGTGAGTAGGAGTCCTAAGAAAGGGCTTGCAGGCACAAAGTGGGCTGGTGGTGAGGGCTACCACATCCAATCCACTGTGTGGTTTCACACTATATGAAGCTGAAGGGCATGTGGAATCTGAAACAGCTCTGTGGTCTGTTTGTCAAACCATGTGCCATGGCAGGGGCAGTGCCCTGAGGAAGGGGCTCTTTTTTTCTAATTTTCCCAAAGGCACCATCTGCTTTCCAAGCCCTGCACCTGCAAGATTGCATCTGCCTAGAAGGGATGCCTTTTTCTAATTACACAAAGGATCTCTATAGGCTAGCGGCGGCTCTGTGCCAGTGGGTGTTTATGGGAAGTGGAAAAAGACGAGAACAAAGGCAGGCTGGGACCTAGGCAAGACTGTGGGGGCAGGCGCAGGCAGCACAGGCTCCAGCTATCCCCTTCACCCACTTTGTGACATTCCCTGCCCCCACCACCAGGAACCCAGGCCCCTATTCTTCTTTCCCATGAATATAAACTTGCTACCAGAGATCTCATTTGTAATATGGAGAAATGACTCACAGCATCTGAAAGTGCTGCGTCTCCTAGAAGGAGCTGCATTTAAACAGATCTTCAATGATTAGAAGACATACAAGTCAGGAGACGAGTGGGGTCTGATTTTTGGGTAATTTTGGGCGTGCAGTGAAGTTGAATTAGGTAAATGAAATGGGTTCTGTGATTTTGAAATGTTCAAATATGATTCCACTAAATGTTTTAATTCCACTAAAATTCTTGTAAAAGGAGACTAGGTGTGAATAAAGCCTCTATACATTCATGACTTGTGTTTGAGGGAGTCCTGCCTGATACTTGCAAATGATTCACTTTCACAGCTTAGAAGTGTGGGGTATGGGGCAGTTGATAGGTTCAGGTTTGGGGCCCTACAGATTTGGGTCTTTCCCAGAAACTGCTCATTGGCCAATGAGGCCATGGGGGTCTAGATTAGTCAGTTTCCTCTTGCTCAGCACTTTCCCCCTTTTATTTTCTTTCTTATTGTCTGGGAGAAAGATACTAGAGAAATGAAATGGGGAAAATAACTCAAGTTGAGATATAAGGCAAGGTATTATGCGGGAAGTGCTAAGCTTCTGTGCTGGGGGTGGGGAATTACTTTTCTACAGGGACTCAGGAAAAGGAAGAGGCACTGTGTTTTTTCAGAATTGTCTGGGGCAGCAGGAGATTAATAATATCTACATTTTAAGCTCTTCTGATGGGTCAAGAGTAGCTGAAAACTCTTAACTTGCATTTACTCTCAGAATAGTTCTGAGAGGATGGTATCATCATTCCCAGTTTACAGATGAGGGAACTGAGCTCAGAAAAGCTAAATGAGGTACAGGGTCAGCTAGGAAGGCGCTGAGTCAGAATTTAAGTGCTGTTCTGTCATATTCTGCAGCTCATTTTCTTAATCATTAGCAAGAAACTAGAAATCAAGAGCTGTTTACTTCCTAGTTTTTTCTCTTAAAAATATTTCTCTCAAAGAACATATGCACAGAGTTAAAAAGCAGCATTTCCCTGTCCTAAGTCTCTCCATCCCCAAGCTTATCTCTCAGAAATACCACTTGAATGCATTCCTAGCGGTGAAGTGAGTAGAGTCTATAGTTAGAGAATACTGAGTTTTATAAAAACGCTCTGCCAGCAATCAGTCCTCTCTATGCTGACAGTCAACAGGCAGCTCCCTGTCATGGGACTTACCCTGTTTATTGAAACAGGTTTGCTCTATACTCCTCGGAGCAATATCTCTGTCCCTCCAAGCTGAAAACTAGCTGGTAGGATAGTTGTCTCACCACCTATAGTGCCCTGAAGAGGTCTACACCCTTGAGAACTAATGTCCTGCTTTTGCCACCTAACAGAAACAATGGTGACATGATGGGACACCCAGGGTGGTACGGGAAACACTCTGAGGTGGCTGGCACCACTCAAAGGATACTTAGAGTCAGCCCTGTTTTCAACTAGAGTGAGGTTAGATTGGGGGAAGCTAGCAGGATACCTTCACCAAAATCTTGAAGAAAGACACAAGAGGAATAATAAGAGCATTTAAGAGAACATTTAAGAGACCCACTAACTGGGTCTCCTTATAATTTCCCTTGCAGGAAGTTGGGGAGAAAATTGAAAAAACCAGACTAAAAAATGGTAGAAACAGGTGAATTCTATGTGATTTGGGGGAGGACTGAAGGAGTTGGAAAACTGGCTCCCTCAACAAAAGTAAAAAGGAGAGAAATAACAGCAGCCGTGGCTTTGAGACTTACACATCACCAGAGGTGGCCTCTGATTTTAATATTCTTTGTAGAAATTATCTTGTTAATAACTGTAATCCCCTTTTCATATCCATTTGCTGGTGACAGGCTGTATCCTAAGGAGATATGGTTACCTACCTTGCATCCCAGAGCAAGAGTAATCCAGACATCAGAGTATCGGGAAGCACAGAAGTGTGTGCTGGTCAGAGAACAGGACACATCTCTCCTCGTCACCTGGGGGGAAACAGAGCCAGGACTGAGGGCATCCACAAGTACCAGGAATACTCACTGAATCTTTTTTGAGGATATCCCTTAATACTATAAACTTTAAGTGATTCCATTAGAGTTGGAGGAAAAGATGATATAAATGGGCTGACATGTGTATACAAGGTGGCAGAAGGGCTTACTCCTCCCTAATGTACTTTGATACCACATTGATTCAAATTAGTGCACCAGCAAAACTGCAAATTATTTCACACTATGTGCTTGCTATTTGTTAGTAGCAGAAACCTTAAATATTAAATCTACATCAAGATTCTGGTCTATTTCTCAGTCCCTGTGAGGTGGGAGATATAGAATACTTCCTATTAATTAAACAATATGTATTGGGTACACTTGAGACCTTTACCTGTATTGTTTCACATAACCTTCACCAGAGCCCTAAGAAATATTATTACTTCATTTTACCTATGAGAAAATAGAGACTTAGGTTAAATGACTTTTCCAAGTCTATATGACAGGTAAGTGGTAGAGCTGGAATTTGAACCAGAGTTGACTGACTCCAAAAACTATCTCATAATAATGCCTTCACCTCTCAACATTAGGGGAAGGTGACTTCCTGAAGCTGAAAGTTCTCATTAATGATAAGGTAGGAGCAGAGATAACACCAGGCAGATTCCAAGTGTATTGACACCTCAGAAGATGAAGATGTTATTGGAAGACACTGGGCAGGAGAAGCAGTAGGAATGGTAGCCCTTGCAGACAAGAGGCAAGGCATTCACAGTAGCCCTAGTTTCTGAGTCTTTCTCCTCTTTGGGTGGTTTATCTCCTTGTTTGGAAGATGACCACACACAGTTGCTGCTACTGGGAGAATGACACCTGTGTACCCACAGAAACCAGTCTCCCCAGCTCAGGAATTAAATTCTCCAGGGTTTGGGCCCCTCACCGTCATACTGACACCAAGAATCTGGAGGCACTGGATGGGATCAGTCAGCACCCATGTCATGAGCAGGATCACATCAGCTATCACCAGGGCTGCCACCAACCCCAGGAGCTGCAGGTCTTTGATTATCTGCAAAAGAGTCAAGGCCATAATTTCCCTTAACTAACTGGCTGTATGGCACAAGGAGTAGAGTAACCTATGTGTTATGAACAGAGTTAATCCTGGCAAGGCGTTTCAAGTCCAGCCACCAATGATGAAACAGAAGCTAATCATGTGCAATAATTTCTATGTCCATAACAGCATCACTACTAAATATGGTCATTTGTTATCTTTTTCATATCCTATGTTTTTCCACAAAGGATATAGGAGTCTATAAAATAAGAATACCATTATTTATAGATGTGTTTGTTTAGAGAGGTGTGGAAGTTTTCACATAAAACAGTTAACCATTAATCTGGAGGGTGGGACTGAGAGATAATGGTGGTGAAGGAGGCATTTTCTCTACACAGGAATCATTTGACTTAATAAAAGGAGAATGTGCTACTTCTGTGATGACAAGAATAAAATTAAGAAAACATGTACTGTGATAGAATGAAATATTGAAAACTATCAGGGAAAAGAGAAAATAGAGAGAATTATGACATCTGGGTAAAGAGTACATAGTACTATGAATGAGGCAGAAATGTGAATCTAAGTTTTTGTCAATCAATGAGAAGAAAGAAGCATAACCAGTAATATGATACATGGTGTTTTATGATCATGCTGTTTCATGATACATGGTTAACACACAAACAAATCAGATCCTTATTCAAACTATTGAAAAACCAGTGAGAAAAGGAAAATATTTGAAGCAATCAGCAAAAAAAAAAAAAAAAAAAAATACACATAGAAGAACAAAGATAAAGAAGATATTGGGTACATAACCAAGATTTTCCAGGAGAGGAAAATCTTTAAAGTACTAAAATTAAAAAAAAAAGGCAAATCTTAATCTAGGATTCCATAAACAGTGAAAAATATCTTTCAAAAATCAAAGGAAAAATAAACTTTTTTAGATAAATAAAAGTTGAAGAATTCAGCATTAGCATACACTAGCACACAAATTAATGTTAGATATCCTTCAGGCAAAAGGAAAATGATGTCCATTGAAAACATGGACCAATATAAGGAAATTAAGAGTTCTGGAAATGCTAATTTCATGGAAAAACACTATTTTTGTTTTTCAATATTTTTAAAAATAACAGTTTAAACAGAAATAACAATAGTGTAGAGTTTATAAAATATGTAAAAGTAAAAATTATCATTCAAAAATTGGAAAGGAGAAAAATATAAGTATATTAGTATAGATACTTATACTATATAAATGTCAATTATATATACAAACTCTTAATAGAAACTGAAGAATGGATACATTCTAATTCATTATATAAGAACAGCATTACCTTAATGCCAACATCAGAAAAAGATTTTACAAGGAAAAAAAACTATAGAACAACATCCCTTAAGAACATTATACATTTTAAATATGTGCGGTTTGTCTCATACCAATTATACCCCAATATAACTATTTTTAGCAAAGGAATCAGTGTTCAAGAGAGATGGATGAATTTATTGTCTTCTAAGCAATCTTTTTCATATGTATGTTTACTCACAGCTGAGCTTTTGACAAATATTCATTGAGATATAATGATGTTTACTTTTAAAAATAATCTCATCATTTCAGAGATGTAAATTCCAACTGGGTGATATATTGTCTCTGGGCAGGACTTACAGCCAAAAAGTTTGATGATCAGACTTTGAGGTTTGGGCAGGTCTATTAAGGATTTGATAAAAAAAGGAGAATGTGATTAATATGACACCTGATGTCAAAGACATGCTGGTAATTTGACTGCCACAGAGCTTCTAGGGTTGATTCTATCTGCCAAAAAGGCCCATCCCTCTTACTGCAGAGACTGGCCTTCTAATGGCAAAGAATTCGGCTCCTGTGGGGGAATAATAATGCTGGCTTGCTACAGCTTTTCTGTAATCACTGTCCCTTCCCTTTCATCTATTTCTGGGCATGGTGCTCTCCATTACACTGGGAGGTCCTGGCCAGCTGAGCAGTACCAGAGCAGTCCCCAGAGCAGTACCACGGCCTGGGGCACATAGGAAGCATAAGCTCTGTTCAAAGATCTACGAGGGTGGGGCATTTATGAGGTCACACAACCTGACAAGGCTTGAAATGAGGAGTTGGAAATTCAGATGGTCGTGAAAGGATGAGACCAATTTAGAGAAGCTTTCAATCAACAGTGAAGGTGCCATCTGCAATCAAGCAGTGTGTACTTGCTGCCTACTCACCACTCGCTTGTCTGGGGCCCTCTGGGTAAACACCTTGTAGAGTCGCCAGCTCTTCCCCAGAATGGGGCCAATCACCAGGGAGGTTCCAATGCACAGCAAGGACAGTCTTATCTATGGATGGGAAGGGACAGATGCAGGAGTCATGAGTGGCGCCTCTGTTAGTTCTCCATTCTTTCCATCTGCAAAACCTCAGACCATAGCGGACATGGGGCAGAGGGCATGACTTGGCCCTCAAGGGCTGGCTTCTGAGAGTGTCACATCTATGAGAAAGAAAGTTAACCACCACTCACAGGAGCCAGCTGACTGAAAAATTACCAAAACTCTGGAGTTATACTCAAAACAAAATTTTAATCCTTCACCTACCTGGATGAGAGTTTCCATTGAGTTTCCCACTAAAGCATCTTGATCTTGAATCCCAAAGAGGTAAGCGCTACTGTAAGTCAGACAACTGCCCAGTAAGGTCACAATATTCAGATTGGGACTGGACATCTTCACAATCCTAGAGGGAATCAGGAAGAGGGATACTTACAATCATGACCCTTTGACCCAGGAGTGGGCAGAGATTTCCCACCAGTATTATTTCCAGCAGCCTGAGTAAAGGGCCCCTGGGAAGAAATCACTTCACAGCCCTATTACAAAGTGTTAAAATTTATTGTTCTAAAAGAACTGGCACTTTCTGCTTGTAAAACTCCTAGTCTTTTAAAAGAAGGCTGACTTCCTAAAAACAAGTGGTATCAGAGAAGAGTTAGAAATTTTCCATGAAGTTTGTGGTTGCTAAGAGACTGCTCAGTGCAAACTAGTGAATAAATAACTAGCAGGTAGACACCTCGAGAGACACAGTATAGAGCCTTTAGAAATGAGTTGTAAGGCAAACTACTATTTGGGAAAACATTTGGGATTTTTCCTCAATTTACTTTACTTGATAAATAAATTGTTTCCCTCTCTTTATTTGGCCAAAAGAGAAACAGAAAACAGGGATTGCAAGACTGACATTTGGGGAGGTTCTTTTCTTTAGTATTTTTAAATGAGGTCACAGAGTACTTTGATGATTAGAGGAGGTGTAGATAGGGTTTCTGAGAAACAGTGGGCACCAGAAGAGTCACAGGCCAAGACTGAATTATGTGACTGGTTAGCACAGGGGAAACTCAAGCTTACAATGTACAGGGACTAATGATAATTAAGAAGTAAAGATAAATAGTAATAATTAAGAAAGAATGTAGCTGTATTTACGACTTTCAGTCTAAATAGTGTATTCTACACAAATGTAATATTTACACTACAGTTATTTTATAATTACAAAGTTTTACTTTTATTTTCAAATAATAACTAGGAGGAAAGCTTTCTTATCTCTGTAACTGTTATTACCTGACTGATCACTTTGAACGCCAGAGCCAAGGCAATACCATGTGTTTAGTGCAGCCTATTTTAATGACAGGCAAAGTGCTAAGGAGGTTTGGTAGTATTGGATTTGCAAACATCATAGCCATCACCAGCCCAGTTTAATTACTTTGGGTTGGCAGCTTAACTGTGCATGAGCATGAACACTAACCCACCTTCCTGGGCCTCAAGCACCAAGTGCAGTTACCATAGCCCAATGAATCTCGTTGAGCTTTTTGTCTTGGAGCAAAACCTTGATTTCTTTTTTTCTTCCTCTAAAAGTCAGAACAACTTTCACGGATTCCTCTTATAAAACGGAGATAGAGAAATAACTAAGAGTCAGAACTTAGTTATGACTAAGTTGACATGAAGGACATTAGTGTAAAATAAAAGTGCTTTATAAACCAGTAAAAAAAAAAAAAAAAACGGCCACCTTCATCAAAGAGCTGTGAGAATTCATCAAGCTATACAGCAAAGTGAGGGGTGCAGGGCCTGGCACACAGTAAGCATGTTGCCAACACTAGCTGGTGATGTTATTAATTTCACCATGAAAGTGAGGAATCATCTTTTCCTTATGCTTTTTTCCTCCACCTATACCTGATCGCCAAGTTTTTTCACTTGTTATTTCAAAATAACTCTTTAAGCTGTCCCTCACTCTTGGTTTCTGCTACCACATTTATCTGGGATTCAATCACATCCCAGGAACGACGGGACTGGAGTCAGGTATGACAGGTGGGAGTCCTAGTGCTGCCACTCACTGCTGTGTGACTCTTCTTCATCCACCCACAGGGTAGTGTGAGGGTCAAAAGGGGTGTCAACCAAACTCTTTGAAAACTTTATAGTGATACAAAAATGTTAATTTTTAGATTTTTGGTGTAACCTTCAGTTCTCTGTAACACCTTATCTCCCTATCCTAATACAGCTTATGTATTACTTTCAGACTAATCTTAAAATATTGATACCTCCTTCATCACTTAGCAAAAGAATTACATGTATAAAGAACAATTTTCTCTTGCTTACCTGAAGTTTCCTATATCCAAATATAAGGTCTAGCCCTGACCTACCTATCCACTTACTCATTCAGGTTTGCCTCCTTTGTTATCATGTCTTCAAATTGTTGACTTACATAGAATTATCTCCCTTAGTTTCCTTATTTGAAGATCACTGTACAACCAGGTCTTATTTCATGTAATTCAGTATTGTGATTTAGAATTTCCTCCCCTTCCTGATTTGTTTAGGAGAACTCAATTTTGTTATTTTGACAAAAATATACATTACATAGGCTATTCACATCACAGGAATTAAAGCAAATTCATTTTTCCACGTGGACATGTTATGGACTTTTCCATTTATTTTGAATTTTTTCCTAAGCAATTTTACTGAAGACATTCCCTCAAAGGAAAAAATGAATAGAAGATGATTTACCCATTTTGTTTGGCCAAGTTAACACCTGCAAAGTCACTTAAAGGTGAAATCATTTCAATTCAGCAGGTGAATTCTGTCTGGGGAACATCTTGCTACTTTGATAGGAATTTAAAATCAATGTCATATTTTTCTGTTGAACTAAAAGATGAAGCCTACATATGCTGAATATCTTAATCACTGCAAACATGTAATTTCTACAAAACAAGACAATTTAAATATCGTACTTATAAATAGCCAGTCTCATCTAGATTTCTTGTGTTACATTTATGAAGATATAAAAACCTGAGACTGGGTTGCTGGCAGTCAGAAACAGTGGGATTTTTTTAAAAAAGGATTATGTAGCTATCTTGTTTTTCTTCATTTGTTGGTTTGCAATGTAAGATAAGAGCTTTCTTGATTTTTCCATTCTCAAGTAAGGTTATGATACATATAATTAAATATTTGTCTGCATTGGCAGAACCTGTGTATAATACTTGATTATCATTCCATAGTCTAATGAATTCAGATACATGAGTGACATTTACCAGATGTCACTTAAAACAGATACAATGTTTTAGAAATCTTTATCAAATATTGGTTTCTGAACTTGGAGGCTTATTATATTTGGAATTATGGAGGATTAAATGATCATCCTGTTTCTTCTTTTTTTTTTTAAACTTTTTTTAAAAAAAGATTTATTTATTTATTTATTTATACAAGCACTGGGTACAGTCAGAAGCGTGGGAGGGTGAGAGAATTCACCAGAGCCAGAGCGGGGAGCAGAAGTGGCAGACAGAGCGAAGACACTGCTGAGGGGAGCAGCGGGCGAGGCAGGAGAGGTCTGTCGCGCCACGTGGGACCTGTGGCTGGGGATTGAACTGGCGCTGCAGAGGCTGTGGGCAGCTTCGCGGCCCAGCGCTCAACCCCTGCGCCACCAGCGGAGGCCCCCATCCTGTTTCTTCTTAATGATGTTTAAGGATTGAGTTTGGAAACATGACCTGGGAATGGGGCACAGTCAACTTACTGTGCGTCACTAAATAGAAACTTCTCTACAATGCCACAGGGCCATGTTTTCTAAGATGCTACCTGCGAATCAATACAGATGGTATCACTGATCTTTAAACCTACCTAAAACCAAAGAGGAACATCTTTCCAAAAACTTTTTAATAAATCAATGAAGATTTAAATTGTGAAAATGTTTTGAATTTTTTTCAATCCACTTTTTAAATCTTTGCTATAATGGGATTATCGATCTATCTCATCTGGATATGTTCCAAACAGCTTTATCATAATATTATTTGGTATGCTTCAGCAAATGTGACTACTTTGCTATCTTGTTTATTTCTAATGTATTAGGCTCAAAAAATGAACCCAATTCAAATTGTGTGCACCTCAAAAGTATATTTGTGTGATCTTTTAACCATTTATATTCAAACTTTGTATCATAAAGGAGAGAGTAGTATGGCCCTGCTCCTTCCTGTCCTGCCTGGACCACCACCCTAGGAGATTGTCCTAGGAGATTTCATTAACTTTTCTTTTTTTTTTTTTTAAATTTTTTTTTTTTTAAGAATTTTCTAATTTTCTTTCTTTTTTTTTTTTTTAATTTATTTATACAAGCACTGGGTACAGTCAGAAGCGCGGGAGGGTGAGAGAATTCACCAGAGTCAGAGCGGGAAGCAGAGCAGGCAGAGGGACCAAGGTACACTGCTGAGGGGAGCAGCGGGCGGCAGGAGAGGTCTGCGCGCCATGTGGGACCCTCCAGTGGCCGGGGAGCAGCCGGGGATCGAACCGGCACAGCAGAGGCTGCGGGCAGCTTCGCAACCCAGCGCTCAACCGCTGCGCCACCGGGGAGGCCCCTAAATTTATTTTATTTATTTATATAAGAACCGGGATACAGGCCAGATACGCAGGTGGTTGAGAGGATTCACCAGAGCCAGAGCAGGGAACAGAACAGGCAGACTGACAAAATACACTGCTGAGGGGGGCAGGCGCGACAGGAGAGGTCTGCCTCGCCATGTGGGACCCTCGCTGGCTAGCTGGGATTGAACTGGCACTGCAGAGGCTACGGATAGCTTCACAGCGTGGCGCTCAACCGCCTGCGCCACCAGGTGAGGCCCTCATTAACTTTTCAAACTCCAAAGTTCTAAATACTTTAATCATAATGACTTCACTTTATTCTACTTTCAGATATTGGTCATTTGGAATGGTTCTACTTCAGAAATTTTAAAAACCAATATCCCACTCTGACACAATCCATCCAAAATTTAATCCCTCGTCTTCTACCTCAACCTGTTTTTACATTCTTCCCCTGTTCAGGTAATGGCAACTTCACCTCTCTATTTTCTAGGACCAAAAATCTTGAAATCATCCTTCACTCTTGCCCACTATCCACATCTAATCTGTCTTGCAATCCTATTGGTTCTATCCTTGAAATATGCCCAGAATCCAACTACTGCTCTTCACCTCTGCTGCTACCAGCCTGATACAAGTTTTACTTTGTATTTATAATTTGAATGACAGCAATAGCCTCCTAACTGGTCTCCCTACTCCTACTTTGGATCTTGAGCATTCAAAGCAATCCATTCAAAGTAAATCATGTCATGTCTGCTCAAAACCCAGGAAAGACTCTCCATTTTACTCAGAGGGAAAGACAAAATCTTTACCTGGTTCTACAGGCTTACACATTTGGTCCCTATGAACTCTCAACCTCATTTTCTA